CATGTCAATATAGGCGGCTGCCTTAATCAAGGATGTCTTGAGTGACTCCAAATTGGGATGAGGCTTTGAGAACACCTTTTCCTCCAAGTGTTGCCATATCTTGTTGTAATCTAACGGACTCAAATCTGGGCCGGAGGAAGGCCAGTCTTCGTGCCGTTGAAGTCGATTTCACGCACCGCCAGCCAATATTGTATGCTCTTCGCTCTATGAGCTGGTGCCGAATCTTGTTGGAATACCCAGTGCCTGTTATTGAACATGGTATGAGAAACAAGTTCCACAAGGTTCGTCAGGACTGTATTTTGATTCATAACTGCATTCGTTTTTACACTTTTCTCACAAAAATGTACCTCCGTTAAGCCCCAACAAGAAACTCCCAACCATACCATGAGCGAGGATGGAAAATGACCTCGTTGGAAACACGGAATACGGTTGCTCGCTTCTTCACTACTGTGTGCGTACACCTTATTATTTTGTTTGTTGTAGCTTTCTTCTACGGTAATTTTTTTTTATCCGACGTCTTCATTGTATCGTTTGATGGTACGACAAAGGAATCTTTTGGTTATATTCAAAATTTTTCAGTATGTCAAAAATTTTAATTGGCGCGTAAACGCAACTGATGCAACGCAATAAATGCAACACGGTCTTCTTTAAGCGTCCATTCCTTATTTAAAAATGAGTAAAATTCTAAAAAGTATACATTTTTATTTTCATGAACAATTCGAAATTCGAATTCAATAAACTTTTTTGTGGCCAGCAATCTAAAAGACAAGTTTTTACTGTGTGACAATACTTATGACCTGACTGTGTACTGTAGAGTCTATTTATCTATTATTATTTATTTATTTATTATTTATTTATTTATATTTTTTTATTTAATATGTGTGCCCCATTGAAGCTTAGAATCCAAAGTAATCCCTAAGAATACTGTGGTATCTACAAGGTCCATATTCCTATCTTTTACATTCACACTGGTTTTTACTTGTTTTACATTAGGTAATACAAGTTTCATACATTTCGTTTTTCCTTCATTAAGCAATAAATTATGAACATTAAACCAGTGGACTACCTTAGAGTTACAATTGTTACTATGATATATGATAGGAAGTTCTTTGGCCAATACTTTCGAACTCTTTGAGTAGGGATGTTACGTGAAACCTCCAATACAGTTAAATCGTCAGTTTTTTGAATAGGAGCTCTATTAAAAAAACTGACGATTTCGACGCGACTAGAAGTCATGGCCGATTATTGATTTTTTTACTGCTTTAGACGTTCGACCTAAGAACAAATCCCAAAATGCCCGCTTAGCCTCTTACTAATCTACTATTGGTATAGTTGTATAATTAGCTTCTTAAAGAGCTAATTTATGTTCTCAGATGAAGTTTTGCTATAATACTTAGCAGATCTCTCAGGTAAATCACATCGTTTAATAATCATCAAACGTAACCTATAGGTAAGTTCGTTTGACGTCTTATTGGTTTCTATAGTACCTATCACACTATTACGATATCAATTAGCATATATTTGCTGAATCAATGGAACCTAAGCAATGGTGTCGATTCTCGCATGAATATCTAAATCTTAAATTAAATATGGCAAGTGGTATCCCTCTAATTGTCTATACAAAAACAATTCAAGCAACAGAGAGATCGATGTTAAATTAAGTTTAAAGAATCATACCAGAATCCATACCATCATCAAGCTAAATACTGTCACGGTGCGCTTTACATCTTCAACACCATAAAATATTTTTTGAACTTCAAAAGACTATAGCGTGGCACAAAACAAGAACCAGCTACAAAAAAAATACTGAAAGAATCCGTACAGGTACAGATCACAATATATTTTGAGAATACGGAACAGATAAAAGTAATCGGCCTTTTTTCACACCTTGTGCTTTGTTTCTATCTGTACTAGTGAATATATGATACTTCAAGATGATAAATAAAAAATCAACATTGGTTTTAAGGTGCTTAGGAATTTTGCATTTACCCCAAAACGCCTTCCTAATTTTGCTTGGCCACTTTTCCTCATAAAGGTCTCCCAAGTCCCAATATGGAATTGATCGTAGTTTACAGTGCTCAAATAAATAGTTAAAACATAAAGTTAAAGACTGAAATTCTCTGAAAACGGACCTATAATTTATTAATTCTATACATATAAGCATTTACATAAATAATAAAAGCTTAAAACTACGTAACTCTACAAACTTAAAATCAGAATTATCTTAATACTTATCTACTTAAATAAAATCTACAATTACAATATAAAAAAAAAACATCAAAAAACCGGACTGCTAAAATATTACTTGAAATTAAAACTTAAAATAAAAAAACAAGTCCAGTAGGTAGTCTATAATTCGGTTAAGTAAGGAACAAAGCTACTTTAACAGTCGGGACCCATTAGATATTCAAGTATAGATAAAAAATTTCAATACAAAAACGAACATAAATTATTAGCTCTTTAAGAAGCTAACAGTCGGGACCCATTAGATATTCAAGTATAGATAAATATTTTCAATAATGGGTCCCAACTGTTAAAGTAGCTTTGTTCCTTACTTAACCGAATTATAGACTACCTACTGGACTTGTTTTTTTATTTTCAGTTTTAATTTCAAGTGATATTTTAGCAGTCGGGTTTTTGATTTTTAAAATTGATCTTTTTTTTATATTTTTGTAAGTGTAGATTTCGAAAAATCTTTTATTTAATGATTAGTGTCCGTGAAAACATAGAAATAAACACCGAAATGGTATATTAACTACTTAATTGAGATATGGAATACTTTTTTATCGCGGGAAGAGTATTTGAAACATATTTAAATCCGCACAACGGAGCGGAGGTGCGGATAAAAGCTTATTTTATAAATTGCACATAAGTACATGGCAGTTGTGTCAGAGTAGCAGGCTGTTTGGTGTCGCCATCTGCAGACTATTAAATTATATACTGTAGTTAACAGCACCCGACGAAATATAAGCGTCTGGCCATAAAAACAGCTTTTCATTTTATGCGTTAATCAATAAATGTAATTTCCCATGAGTGTGAATAAATGTCTCATAAAACCACCCTTATGATGTTTTCTTACACAATAAATGTCTTCTCTTGATTTTAGGGGGTTTCACGCGTCTTGAGGAACTGGGAATATACTGTAGACAAATAACTTGAAAAACTTGTATAGTAAATACTGGGTCCACATAATGTTTATGGGCTTGTTCTGTCCGAGGAGTAACGATTATATGCGTAACTGCCATCATTCGTTATAATATTTTTGCGCCAAAAAGTTCACCGAAATGTGCTATAGTTTCTATAATTATTTTAATGCAATCAATGTAAGTTAGTACTTTATAAATTCTTGACTACATACAAAATTCTAAAGAGAACTTGTGCTATGGTGAACGAAATAAATAATACATATGTTACAGTAAAACCCCTTTTTTAAATAACTAGTCAAAACTAGAAATTAACACTGATATATTTGAGTTTCAGTAAAAACTAGTTGTCACTCCGAGCTTAAGTTAAAACTAGCACTAGCACTAGAGAAACTAATTTGGGATTGAAAACAAGATATAGTTGTAAAAAAAAATATTAAAACGATCTAGGACACGAGAGTCATATGTAACCACGAAAAGCCAATTTTTCAGGAGAGGCAAAAAAGTAATTTGAAAATTAGAAAAAATATAGGTACGATGAACTTTGAGAACAGTTTTAACTGACTCTCTTCGAAAAACACGCGTGTTGTCTTGTAAGAATTTTAACTGAAATTCCATTCTGAGCATTGGTTAATACTAGTTTTAAAAAGGCATTTAGTAAAAACTAGTTCTAACTAGGGAAAACGCGTTATATCTAAAAACTGTAACATATACACCGTGACTTTTAAGTTATCTGATAAACATTACTAGCAAAAAAACATGTATTTTTTTGTTAATTAATATTTTAGAAAATTTGCTATTTTAAGTGTCATAAATATATTGAAATAATACTACTTTTAGGATCTACGAAATTTAAACGGATAATAATTCCATAATTGGTATGTTATACGATATAAATCAATATTTTTGTATTTATGTTTTTTTTTGGCACTATTTTTATTAAAACGACTTTAAAGTTTCTTAGGTAACTCAAAATTCACGGTGTTAAATTGACGAATTATTTTGTACTCATCTCATCCTACAAATTCTTCGTTTGGTACCGTCGGAATAGTAAGTATACCGTGAGCAGAAAGTACTCTCGTTACACCAACCCGTCGATAAAAGATATAAGTATACATTTTTACTTGGGAAATATTGCCACCGACCGCATATAGTTTATCTTTCGCTCCTAGTCTGGTTTTTATCGGCGCTCAAAATCGCTATTTCTGGAGTCACGTCGATGCACTAGTGCGACTAAGCTTTCCTCGACCCAAATATGTTGGGTTATTTGAAGCGGAAAATGGAGTGACATTACGGTCTCGTACAAAATGACCTCTTACTCATCTGCAAATTATATTCGTTAAGTTAACATCAGTGTGAGTAAGCCAAAAAAATATTATTTGGCTTACCGAGTCGAGAGCCGAGAGAAATACATATATATCAAGCGTCGTGGCGCGGTGGCGCGTCATGCGCGCAGATTCTGCCAATCGGCACGTAGGCGTGGGTAGTTCCGCGGGCGGGGTATATACGGTCTCGTACAAAATGACCTCTGACTCATCTGCAAATTATATTCGTTAAGTTAACATCAGTGTGAGTAAGCCAAAAAAATATTATTTGGCTTACCGAGTCGAGAGCCGAGAGAAATACATATTTATATCAAGCGTCGTGGCGCGGTGGCGCGTCATGCGCGCAGATTCTGCCAATCGGCACGTAGGCGTGGGTAGTTCCGCGGGCGGGGTATATACGGTCTCGTACAAAATGACCTCTGACTCATCTGCAAATTATATTCGTTAAGTTAACATCAGTGTGAGTAAGCCAAAAAAATATTATTTGGCTTACCGAGTCGAGAGCCGAGAGAAATACATATATATCAAGCGTCTAGGCTTGTTGAAAATATATCGATGTATCGATATATCGATATTTTTTGTTCGATATATCGATATTTTTTGCCGATATATTTTGATTCGATATATCGATACATCGATACAAAATAACCAATATCGAAATTCGTATCAAAAACGATATTTTTTTAATTATTAGCGGCATATCACGATCTAACTAAATTCGTATCTGGAAAAATCGTAACTGGATCTCAGATTAATGATATTCAACATACCTATGATCTGTGCTGTATTTAGTATTGTCTATGTCATCATTCGAAAATAGGGTCTATTTTTAGGGAGATAATTTTCGTTCCATTATTATTCCGCGTGTCATATTTCGTGAGCTTCTGTACGATATTTTTGAGAAAATTGGTCCGATATATCGATATATCGATGTTTTTTTCGCGATATATCGAAGCCGATATTGATATTTTTTAAAATATCGATGTATCGATATATCGATATTTTTTTCAACTTTCGACATCCCTACAAGCGTCGTGGCGCGGTGGCGCGTCACGCGTGCAGATTCTGCCAATCGGCACGTAGGCGCGGGTAGTTCCGCGGGCGGGGGCGCTATAGCGCCGCAGTCCCGCGCGCGTGTTTGAGCCGATTCGCCCACTGGCAACGCGTCCCGATGCGTAGCGCAGATCACGCGGTACCGCGCTGCAGTTGATGTATCATCCAATCCAGATGCATAAGGCAAACATTTTGACAATTTGCAACAACAGACTTTGGTCATCAACAAGCATTTTTTCAAGTCTTCTTACAAAGATTACAGTAAAATAACACTACCTTCTGGTGGTGCTGTTTCGATGAGTGAGGTTCCAGAGCTCCGCAGGATAGGGTGACTACTCTGACCTTTGGGTCAGGGTAGGCAATGGAGTGAGTGATATATTTTGTATTGCAGGGATCTATAGGCTTTGGTGGCTGCATACCACCAGGTGGGCTATACGCTTATTTGCCACCGTTTAAAATAAAAGTAGAGAGTTTATAGTGTTCATATAGTGAATGTCTACCACGCTGAATGGAATGGGAGCAATAAAAAACAACCAATCGTTCCAGCTGCTTATTTTCTGTTTCATTTAGAATAATAAAAGTAGCACACGCTTTAGTGCTAGAAATAAAATAAATTAGTTTTTGCGCTGTGTAAAGGTAAAGTAATGACTGAGCTCCAGAAAATCGATAATTCGTTAAGGGAGGTATTTGTGCTCGCTTTTACAATATAGCAATATTCAAAAGATAAGTCTGAATTAATTTGTAAGAAAGCTTATAAGTATCCTAATATGTAGTAAATAGAAATGGTTAGATTTTTCGATTAATCTAAATCAATATTTTCATAGTACCTAATATATATTTAGCTATATTAAATCATAGTATTGTGAATAATATTTTTTGTGTATGCTTTATTCTATATCAATTTGAGTCACCGTCTTTTTCACTTTATTTAAAATAAAGTGAAAAATAAGGGATTAGATCAGGCAAAAATGTGATAAGTTACTCAAAAGGTGTGTTTGGATTATCTAAATAATTCACTATGAAATTAAAATAAATTATGGTTCTTTACTATTTTATACGGACGACCGAGTTACATATCTTACAACTTTGATAATAAAGAATTTTTATTTTTTCAAATTGTAATTTAAAGTTCTAAGGTTACAAACTTTTACATTTTAGATTTATAAGGATTTATCAGTTTTTGACATAGAATTCTATGTCAAAAACTGATAAATCCTTCCTTTTCTTTCGTAATTACGAATAAAAGATATAATTTGAATTTTTAGGCATGTAACTGCTTGACGTTTAAATCTAAAGAAAAGAAATGGTCCGCGTGGATTTTTTTCTAGTTATATTTTCTTTAGATTTAAACATGAAGCAGTTACATGCCTAAAAAATTCAAATTATAACCAGAATTATCCTGTTCATATATAAGAGTCAGACAAATGTTTTAAATTTTTACTGGGGTCGTTTACACGAGCTTCGATATTAACAGCATTGAAGTAAATAAACGGAATCAAGAAAATATCAGCCAAACAAACTATAAAGACCACGTAAACAAAAGAGCAATCAAAATTGAAAACAAAAGAAACCGATAATTTTTTTTTCGAATGTTAATAACGGAGCGTCGAGACGTGAACATGCATCTTTTAATATGAACTTTCGTAAACGGATTTCCCAATTGATGTATGAAAAACTCAATTATGTGACAAGCTATAACTTTTCCTAAACTTTGGTAAAAACGGATATACGAGTAGATACTTTTCTTGGGGAGTATCAACTTATTTCGAGAAAATACCCATTTCAATTCATTCGAAAGTTTTTACGCAACGTGAATACAAATAGACAGACAAAAAGGGGCTGAAAAATAAGAGATCCAAGTAAAAATATTTCTATAGATGTTACTATTCATGAGATTAAAGAATTAAATATTTTGTATTTTTTACTATTTGTATTACAATGTTTGCTACTCACAACTAAATCAAATACTTAATTTTTTACTACGTGTATTCGCATAGCTGTGACAGCGACCTGTTGGGCTTGCTCAGCACAGACTTTTAGTAGTTTTCATGTTTTCTTTATATTTTGGTTGCTTTTGGGGTTCCGTATACCAAACGAGAAAAACTGAACGACATCCTCGGTGGGCGAGTCCACTTGTCCGGATTTTATATATCTTTTTGTCTGGTTTTTTGATTACATCCTATGAAGGCCAATAAAAAGTTTTCTTTCTTCTTTCCATACACTAAAAACTAAAGTACTGAAACCACTGACCAAACTGAATAATGAATTTCACATCTATATTTGCCATCGGAGTAAACTTAAGCTGCGCAAATCCGCTATGTCAATACGGAACAAGATATATTACATCTTTGAAAGCTTAGACGTGATCTAAAGAACACACGGCAATCAATAACGTACTTCATCATGGCGGCTTACGATTTTAATTTAGAGTTTGATGTAGCAGTGGCTAGTAAGTTTTGTCAACATTCGCAGTGGCCGGTCATAGGATTTGCTAAAGACTTTTTCATAGTTCTCATTGTCAGTGTTATTTATGTATTTTTAAACAATAGTTTACATTTGATTTATATATAGAGTTATGTAAATGTTAATATTTAAGTTTAAATAAAATTAGTTTTAAGTTTGTGTAAATAAATATATTAAACATTATATATAGTACATGCTAGAAGTTATATTAAATAAATGAAATAGAAGCCCACAAATGTTTTCAACGGAAAATTTCAGAGTAATTTTAGTTATGCAGTTAATTAACTTTTGGAATCTCTTCGTTGATATGTTTTTTTCAATTAATCTATTTCAGATTTGTGGAAATAAACAAGTCTTACTGAGAAACAGTCACTTCACAGTAAATAGGATTTATTCGGTGGCTTTGCCGATTTTATAATTTCTCATATTCTAAAAAATCTTTTATAATAAATGTTTCTCTAAAAGATTATAACCGAATTAGCATTATTTAATTGAACTGCATGAACATAATGAGTGCTATCTCTGTGATTTTTGCATATTATGACTTTTTGATTACCAGATAAAAATGTCATAACTACAGCTTTATGTATGCGACAATGCATTTATAGAAGGAGTACTAATATTCATCTAAATTCAAATTCAAAACAAATTCTTTATAATTTATTATAAAAAAAAACTGGCATCGCCAATCTTTTGTAAAGTGTTTTATATAGTATTATTATGTAAGCAGGTCACGTATCCAATAACGTACTTATCGGTTTTGTCTCACGTTTAATATAAACAAGACGTACTTTAAGCTTGGTACTTTGCTTTATTAGATTTGTGTGGGAACCACGCACTTTTTGATCCTTTACTGTCTTTGTATTGGTATGTACATGTATTCTGTGATATTACAAAATAAAAGGCTTTTTATTACTACGGGCTTTTATTTAACTTGCACTATTTTTATGTAATATGTAGCTAGAAAATTTGTAAACCATTTTTCGACCAGTTCTTGTTGTCTGCAGTGCCATTCAGTAAAAATTTTTACGCGCGGATCCAATGTTGATTCACGCGGTACAGATATAAATCCGCGCGGATACACTGAGAAAATTTTACAGAGTAGTACTGCTGATTCACCTGAAATTTGTTACACTGATGTAAGTCTGGGGCATTTGACATTTTGTTGGGAAGAGAAATGAAAAGTGTGAAACGCGCTTTTATTTAAAACCAGAAGTTAAATATGAAGTTTAACATACTGATTATATGTTAATAAATTTAAGTAAAATAATCAATATGATCCTTAATCAAAATATTACTGGCAAAGAATGGTAAATTCAATATTTTTAAGAGTTGATTAAATCTTTGTTGATGATGACTATAATTTAAAGATAAGGATAAATAAAAACAGTTATTTTTTATTTTATGCTTTTTCTCGAGTGTAAAAATGTAATTATTCAGGCATTTTGCAGGTGTTAAAAATTAATAAGCATTTAACTGCTAAATTTATTAATAATTAGATGTAATTTTCAGTTAAAAAAGGATTGGTCTCTCTTAATTTTTGTTAATTTGTATAATATCTGTCAACTGTTTATGTTTATTAATGTATTTTATTTTTCAAATTGAATAAGACATTTTTTTCAATTCATAATTTTGGTAGAACGTTAAAATTTTAAAGGAAGAAGTACAATTTTGGTGTCGTGACAATTTCGGTGCCATAAAAAATATAAATAAAATAAAATATTAAGACTTTTAAAATAATATTTTGTAATATTTTTTACAAAATATGTTGTTTTCGCATTTAGTTAAAACACTTTTCTTTATTTCGAAAAATTAAATTTTCCACCAAAATTAGCAAAATTTTATATTTGTTGAAATCCACTCATTTAACACAATTGTTTTTAACGCTGCGTACACGAAACTGACTGATAAACCGTATGGGTGGACTAGTTCAAACTTCCAATATTCACAAAATATCTGTTTCCATTGTGATTATAACGACAAATAAAAGTAATTTGAATTTAAAGGGGCCGTAGAACTTAGTTAATTTCGTACAACAGTACTTTTCTCTTTGTTTGCGAGACCGACTCACTAATTCTGTCTTCAAATAAATTTACAAAGTTGTCAACGCAAACCCTTTGGTCGCGGTAACAAGGTATCAGCTATCTGTTTGCCGATAAACCAGCTGTCTTTACCGCCGTGACAGCCATCAGATTATATTGATAAGGGGTGTGACGCGTAAAGGGTTGAAAACGCTGTTGTACCAAGTTTGTTTTTTCACCCGCTATTGTGGGAGTAGCCCAAAAACATGGAACACACCAAGTGCAAACTTTCCAGCTCTGATACCTATCAACAGCGAGATAGTTTGGGAAATTATCATAGGCGATGGATAGTCAAATTGTCAATATTATTTCAGGATTTATAAATTTAAGTTTTTTTGGACCGTATTAATAATCAGGAAATATGCATGCTTTGAAACTAATATTTGTGTCAATTCATATTTTTTTATTGAAATTATAATTCTAGTTTGAGTTACGACGGAAGATTTGTGTTGGTAGTAAAAAAAATCTTTTTCGCCCGCTATACTGGGAGTAGCCCAAAATATGGAATACTCCAAGTGCAAACTTTCCAGCTGATACCTATCTATGGACATAGATAGTTTGGGAAATTATCGTAGGCGATGGATAGTCGAATTGTCAATCAGGAAAAAAGATGTAATTAAAATATTATGCAACCTTTCCAAACTTCAGAGACGTCTATTATATAAATAAAGTTAGATATAACTATGGAGAAAATGAAAATTCAATAACATGTACTTCAATGGCGTATCAGTGATTAAAACGAGGTTAATGAGTTGCTAGGTCTTTACCCAATATTGTCCAAGCATATCCATCCCTTAATCTCTCAGTACCATAATACTTCTT